GGCACGGCTAACTCACAGATCGAATCCTGAAACAACCTCTGGGCTGATCTAAGTCAGGGCATGGCTAACTCACAGATAGAACCCTGAAACAACCTCTGGGCTGATCTAAGTTAAGGCATTGCTAACTCACAGGTTTTTTTTAGAGTTCGTACATGCACGTACATTGAATAAGTAATAGCAATCTACTTTTATCTACGTGAATAGACTTAAAGTATTGTACTTTTTTTTGTTGTTGTAAGATTTTAAGTCAGATTCCCTCTATCAACACCAAATAAAAAACAAAAAGGTGCAGTATATCCTTAACGTAAACGTTCATTAAAGCCCTTGTCGCTTTCATTACTTTTGATTTAAAACTGATCAAACTGTCGTCGATCAGCCTACAGATACATTAACAACTACGAAGTTAATTTGACTATAACGAGCGGGCGATGTGAACGTTTATGATCATTCTAGACAATCGAGATAAAGCAGTCGTAAAGATGTTACAGATGTGACTCAAGTAAGGAGCCACGGTGTCTCTCGCTCAAGACGGTTTAAACTTCCGACCAAGTAGAATTAAGAAAGATGTTAAGATAGCCGGAAAAAAGAAATGATAAGTAAGTCTATTACGTTGAATACTCAACACGACAAGATAGCCGGGTTGGTGCATTTGTTAAGCACGTTAGACCTGTTTCTGTGCATGGTTTTTTCTCGTTAGATTTTTGCATCACGTACATAGATATTCACAGTACAAGATATTGGATAATGTTTAATTCTAATATATTAGCTTATTGGTTGAGAACGTTTCTAATGACTCTTAAATGCGTGATTAAGCTTTGTCGTGAACTGGACTCGATTTGATCGTTCTCGTTTGATTGATGGATTGATTGATTGGTTGAAAAAATCAATATGCCATTTGCTTTTATACGAAATATTATATCATGAGGAAAACTATACCCTTGCTCTCAAATGGCTGCCACCATCTATCGAAGGTTGAACAGCAAAGGGTTGGAGTAGGAGTTACTTAATATTTAAAAAATAGACGCGATAACTGTGTGGAAATATTTTCAACGTTATAACTGTAGAGTCAAAGTCAGGGTCGTACCTAGGGAAGGAGTACCCCAAAACGTTTTTCTGCAGCTGTAGATTTGGCGGGAATCTTTAAAGATAAAACGCGAACGCGTGAGTTTTGGCGGGAAAATGGTACATTGCTCCCCCCCCCCCCCCCCCCCCCCCCCCTCCCCCACAACAGACCGACGCTCTTACCATCTGAGCTAACAGGGTTAATTTTCCCCCCCCCCCCCCCCCTGACCAGAGCTTTACCAACTGCTAGCTTCAAAGCATGTTTCCAAATTTTCAACAATGATGAAGAGACACACGTCTCAAAACGTCTGACATATTTTTAAGTACTTATACCATACAAAACTTATTTTTCATATGCGTGTTTCCAAGTTTGATCTAATGCACAAGTATAATTTAAATCCTCCACATTTTCGGACTGACTGTTTTAAAAATACTTTTATACCTTCAATAAGCATGATATAAAGTCGCTTTGCTATTTTTATGCGTATTTTTTCTAATATTAGTACAGTCGAACCTCTATTAAGCGGTCGCCCCTGGGGAAACATCAGGTGACCGCTTAATAGGTCAAGGTCAAGTTTACAGTAAATACAGTAAGAAAAGCGAATTTTCGGGAAATTATTAAGTGACCGCTTAATAAAGGGTGACCGCTAAATAGAGGGCCGCTAAATAGAGGTTCGACTGTATATACAGTCAATGTCTTTAACGTTGTCCACCG